CCTAGAGAGAGAGCTCACCTCAGCTTCCGGTACTGGTTTGCCACGATCAGTAAGGATGCTACCAGGCAGTCGAAAAAAAACCTCGTATACTTCAGGATAATGGTTCTTGTCTTGAAAGTGTAACAGCGATCATTAATTGCAATAGAGCCCAGCAGACAGCTATGGACTCGTTATCATTTCTGCATGAAAAGCCCCAGGAGAATTTTTAGAATCAAATCACAGGACAAAATGCCTCACACCGAAGTTTGACAAAGGTCAAATTGTAAGAGTGTTTTCCTAGCTAAAAAGGACACAACTTCGCTGGGCTCGCCATGCCGTAAGAATACCGGATTTCAGAATCACGAAAGACTGTCCCCAAGGAAGGGAAAAGTTGACCCACCAAAATGCGCATCAAAGACACCTTGAAAAGGTCTCGGATCCATAATGTGCCCCTAAAAGCATGAGGGTCTGATTCCACCGTTTTGTGACACAATTTGGTATTTCCTGACATCGCTGAACAGCTTCTGAAAGCGTACTTGACATGCACAAGCTGAAGTTCGGGTTCAAACCATTTGGACCAGTTTGTCATCTAGAGATATAGTGGTAAAAATAGCCATGCTGTTTCGAAATGCCAACAAAGTTAAAAGAAAGGGTTGAAGCAAGTATCCAACTTTAAGTACTGCTAAACATTACCAAAATCTTGAAAATGAACTTCACCACAAACCTGGGAACAATCTAGATAAAAACTCGCCCTTCCAAAAAATCCCGAAAAGAAAACAAAAAAACCCCTTATATGTCAAGTTTTAAAACAATTTCCCTCATGGTCCGTTCCCGCGATAGATCTAGCTCTATCATGACAACCACCATAGCAATACATGTGAATGTGTCAGAGAAAAGTAAAGGGAAGGTAGAAGAACCAACATCATCCGAAAAGGATTCAGACACACAAGGGGAACCAGAGGCCACCTCTTCAACGACTGAAACATGACTGAAATATGAAGATCAATGAAGATCTATTTATATGACTAATCCATTTGACTGATCCAAAACGTTTGCAGCGTTCAATTTTACACCGAGAAGACAACAACGAAAGATGTGGCGTTCTGATGACGTGTTGGGTGATCAATGAGGAAAGAAAAACAATAACCAGCAGTAGGAATACAGTTGGTCGCTTTTATGGAGAAGCGGGCTAACCAAGATTGTGGGGGTTTCCAGAAATCTTGACCTTCACCAAAAGTGAGTATTGCCCTATCTATAAGAGAAGTTTGGTTTTATTGGTGGGTATTTGTTTGGTTATAAAGAACACTCTCCTTGTCTTTTAAAGAAACTGAACGAGGGTCCAAAATCTTTACCTTCGATTTTCTCAAAACAGCTTTTTTCGGGATAGCCCCCTTGGGGTTAAATGCGACCAATTTGAGGACGATAGCAAGCGAGAAAAAAAAAAACGGTGAAAAGGGTCGAAGCAGCCCGCCTCCTACTATCTAACTTAATCTTAACTGTGTCGATGGAGGTAAAAAAACATTTGCGATCATTCAAATCACCAATGCTTTTCTTGAATCTTACGATTAGTAAGTTGATATTGCCAGCACGAAGCGACAACAGCGACTGCAGCTGTTGTCTTAGACACGAGGGTCTCGATCGATGTGCAGACTACTCACTCACGAAGACCGTTGTATGAGTATATTGTATTAGACCAGTCCGATAGATTTCTCCTTGATAAGGTTAAGGTACTTTCTTCGCGACAGTACCAAAACGGATAATCAGTTACGATGACGGATGCCAGGTGAAAATACAATTATTATATATTCAGGGAAATCCCGTTCCACTAATGTAGTGCGATAAACACTCGCGCTAGCTTGCTTTCAAGCACTATCCGCCCACAATTTGCTGACTCGGTCTTAAGCAGCACATGCTTGCATCGCCTGGTGCCCGAGTTCACAGTTTAGCTACCTGCTCTTGTACAACATAACTATAATAATGTGGACAAACCATTGAGCTGTTTCCCGCCCGCGCAAACCCGTACAGTACATGACAATACTGTTCCCAGCTGCTGCTGCTGCAAACTCCCTCCACAGCTACAATTTCCGCCAGTCCACGTGCGCAGATGAATGACGGAGCAAGATGGCGCAGCAACATGGAGCAGTACAGTTTTCCGGTCCCACGTCTTCCGGTTGTTGTTGGGGTTGGTTTTTTCTGGTTTTTTCCCTTTTTTAAAATTATTGTTTTGTTTTAGTCACCTTGTAGTAAGCCAACTTGCTTTAGCTTTCAAACCCCCAAAAAGCGCTGCTGGAGGAAACAGATGACGACGGTTGGACGTCTTAGTCACAAACATGATCCACATTTTTGTGTGCAAGTCACGTTAGTGAAAGTAAATTCGTGTATCTTTTTCTTGTGTGTGTCTTTTAGTAGTAGTAGTATAAGGTTTTACGGCGCTCGCAACTGCTAAGGTCATATGAGCGCGCTGTGTGTCTTTGCACAGAAAACAAATCTTAGCAGAAGTAAATATGATTTAAGGCGGGGGGAGACTGGGGGGTTGATGAAAATTTAGCATTGGTAAACATTTTGAGCAAATGATTGTTTCTATAGGCGCAAGCGTAGAGATCGTTTGACAGTACATGATTTCGGCTGTGATCATTTTATTGGCTTAGCGAAAACGGTGGCACTCTATCTTTTCGTGAGACTCAAACGCATAATACAAATTACTTTGACGAGCACGTGATTTTACCGCGATGCATCACATGTTCTGAGGGGCTTGACCAAAGTAATGTGTATTGTGTGATTGTGACAAGACTAAAGTTACCCTCTGCCCCCTTGTCGATAGATATCTTATCAGATAAATACATGTATTGTATAGTAAACAACGGGTACTCTAGGACGAAGGCTATTTTTAGGGCGCCTATTCTTGTCTTTGAAACAAACTCTATAGCCATTTTAGAGAAAAGTAGCATTTACGGTAACAATGATTAAATTAGATCACCATTAATCACAAAACAAGGGATTATAACAATCGTTGTTAGCAGCAGCAGTAGTAGTAGTAGTAGTAGTAGTAGTAGTAGTAGTAGTAGTAGTAGTAGTAGTAGTAGTAGTAGTAGTAGTAGTAGTAGTAGTAGTAGTAGTAGTAGTAGTAGTAGATTATTATTATTATTATTATTATTATTATTATTATTATTATTATTATTATTATTATTATTATTATTATTATTATTATTATTATTATTATTATTATTATTATCATTATGAATACAGTCCTGATGAGTGGATTGGCAATATCTTTTAATCGACTTAACTTAGTACGCGCACGTCGTCATACATGTATCTCGGGGTTTCTGGTAGTTTGTGTCCCTCAAGCAACTACCGGGTACAGCTTAGCCCTGACACAAAACCATCTGCCTGTTCCTGTTCAAACCTATCCCCACCCACACTCACCCCCACCCACACACAATTCATAAGTTTTCTGTGGAGTTAGGTCAGCACCAACCTTGTCTAAATTCTGGCTGTTGACCTCGTGCACGAGGGAGCGTACACCTGTCGTCAAAAAAATGACCACACACGAAAACAAAACAGCCAGAAGGCGACAATACTTCCTTGTCGCGGCCATCTTGGAAAAGAAAAAGAACGTCCGTGAAAATTCTACTTCCAGAAATGCTCCAACGAAGAATGTTTTAAGAAAAAGGACTCTATTGAAAACACAACACAAAACACGGTGTTAAAACGTGCCTTTTCACACTATTAGTCTCCGTTTTTCATACGAACTGGTTTGGGTTGTTTTTTTTCAAATTTGATATGACTATTTAAATCCACAACACCAAAAGTCTATCAAGTCAGTTTTGGTTTCCTTTTTTAAAAGTAAAGAAGAAATCAGCGCGTCCTCTAAATAACCAAAATCTTGAAAGACAGTAGAATGGCCCAAAAAGTAGACAGACTGGCCTGAGTGGCAGAGGACACGAGGTTCCGCGCTCACGACGTCTGTTACCCCCGTCCGCCAACAACACACGTGTACAGCACTCCAGCGTGTCCCTGCAACGTGTTCAGTCTGGTCACAGGCCGGCCCAGATCGAACACCTACTTGAGAATTTTGATTTTCTTTCAACTTAACTCTTAGCATACTACGGCGTCCCGGTTCAGCAAGCGAGCTTGCTAGCTTACAGTACCGCTCGGTTGTTTAAATTCATAACAGAAATCTACCACACATCAGCAAAATCATATTATCTGCTGTTATTAAACTGTATGTTTAGTACACGGATTGTTCATTTCTACCCAGCTTGCTGGTTGTTTTTTACAAATAGGTTCAACGAAATTGTTTGTGATGCTGATAACTCGAATGACAAAAGTGTCAAGTACTTAGGAGGAATAGCTTTCTGTATAGTAAGAGTTAAACGGTGTGCCTATGGTTCGATGTTTGTCAAGCTAGGAAGCTGATCCGATGCAGTTTTCAACTTTGAAACTGACTTAAAACCAAGGAGGTTTTACAGTTGTTGTAAGGTCTTTGCTTAAAACTAAAGGTTTGTCAGTGGGTTTTCGTTGTACCCTCTTTGTACGATGAACGCTTCGGCTTGGGCGAAAACGTACCGAGTGCATACCCTCATGAGTAGTTTTACTACAAGATGTGGATTCTAGCACACAATGGCATACACGCATACACACACTCAGCCCCCCCCCCT